ATGACTCATTAGTTTCTCCAGCGGTGGGAACTCGCTTGGTGTTCCTAGCCTGGTTTCCCAGTCTTCGCGAGTCTTGTCGTCCAGTGATAATCCCACCTGATGAACGATAATGTGATCCTATTGGTCAGTCGGGCATCCTAATGTTGCTAGAGCACTGAGAGATGACGTCACTACATTGATTAATTTGTTGAGGGATCCAGATGACCTTTCTTTTCTGCGAGGAAGGGCCATCAGCCTATCGAGACGAGCCAGGATTAATAGGCGTTCGTTGTCGAATCTATCTGACAATCTATTCCATGCTATTGTAAAGGAATCAGCGGATATTTTCAGATCTGAGATGACTTTAGCCGCTTCTCCCTCTAGGCTGGCCCGGAGATAGTGTAACTTCTCCACTTGTGAGAGGTCTGAGTTGTCCTTGATCATTGAGGAAAACAGTTCCATAAAGGGTTTCCACTCTGAGAAGGCACTGGAGAACTTCGGTATTGAGATGTTGGGAAGTACCGTCCTAAAACGAGATGCTCTTTGAGATGTGACAGGTTTTACTTGCTGGGAGAGTTCTTCTATCCGCAAGTTTAACAGCGTTACTCCGCCTAGATATGTCTGCATGGTCGCATCGTAGCGATTTTCCTTGAAGTAGGACTGTTCCATGGCTGTTTCGCGAGATGACGATACGATGCGGTCGTGTTCAGCATCGAACTTTGACCATGCCGTGCGAAGCAACTCCCTTGTGTCGATAGCGGTTGAGAGGTCCATAGTGTTGAAGTTCTTTGAGTTGGCAGTCAAAGTTGAGATGGTGTTAGCCCGCGCCTCTTGGAGCGCTAGTTTCGCTGCCATCKTGAGGCAGGATTGTTGTGAGGGGAGACTGTAGTGTAGTCGTGGGGCCGTCCCCACTACTTCTGGAGATGACGATAAGTCTCTAGTGCCGGATTCCCGCGCCACCTAGACTTTCCCTAGCGGACTACAGACGTTGGAACTATCACCCTGTGTTTTGAGAAGCCGACAATCAAATTGCACTAACGGTCCCTTGAACTGATTTTCCTGTCGCAGCACAACGTCCTGGGTGCTCAGCAATGCGACAGGGGTTGTACACGACACTTTTCACTAACGTTAAATCTTGTTACACTCACAATTAATACTAAGATCCGGCTCGAAGGACCAAAAAATGTTCGAGAATAAAATACAAAATAAACGAATAGAAGATGGAAGAGGGAGGCTAGTGGACTGTATTTGTCTTAATTTCTGGTAGAATTTAAGTGGAGCAAGATTTTTTAACAATTATGAACATGTAGTAATGAATTAATGAAACGAAGAGTACAAAAATGAGAGGTAAGAAGGTATATAGAGATGATGAGATTAAAGATAAAGGTTATGAGATTACCTGAGAGGTCGTTAATGCGAGAGAGTATAAAGAGATGATCAGTCAGAGAGACGCAACACAAGGATGGCCTAAATGAGAAAAAGCGAGAAAGAGATGAGATAAAACGGTGTGAGATGAGAATAGAGCGAGATGAAGCCTATAAGATAATGCACAATTCTTTTAGATTTCAAAATGTACGTCCGCACAGATTAACTTATTAAACGGTTCTGCTGGACCACGCCACTTTTCGGTTCGATTAGAGGAACAGAGCGGAAGTGGAAAAAGGACAATAGACCAATGAGC